CAGATTTCCATTGATACTTGTTTCCTAGGGCTGCTGTACAAGTTACACAAAGTGAATGGCTAACAGACAACAAAAGAAGCTTATTCTCTCAGTTCTAGAGGCCAGAGTGAAATCAAGGAGGCTCTAGGGGAGCATCTCTCCTTGCTTTCTTCCTCTCCTCATCCTGAGATCCTTAACTTAGTTACAGCTGCAAAGGCCATGTGCCACTTAACAACAGGGATATATGTTCATATTCACAAGTTCCAGGTTAGGAGGTAGACATGTCTTGGGGACCACCATTCAGCCAACTATAACACTTGACATTATCTTGTTTGTATATTGTTTATCTTCCCCAAGTTAGAATTATGAGTTTTGAGAAAGCAATAGAGTCTGGTCCGTCTAATTTACTCCTATTTCCAGGAATTTAGAATATGAGAGCCCAGCCTATAATAAGTACTCCAATTATTTGCTGAAGAATGAGAGGTTGTTAGCTTTAATCAGAGGATATATGTCAGGGGAAGAAATTTTTCTGAAAAAAAAATAAACTAAACATGTGCTGAATGAGAATATAAGTAATTTTGTCCAAGATTCCACAGTGATTAGATGGCAGGGACAAAATTCAAATCCAGATGTTCCTGTCTTCAAGATCTCTGTAATGAGAAATACTGTAATGTCACAAAGCATTATTTATATGCTTAATGACACTGAAAGCATTAATTGCTAGGAGCCAAAATCTGTCCAAGCAAAGCATGAACACATTTTGTACCTCATGTCTCTTCTTGTAGGTGTTTAGCATTAAGTTTCACTGCTCCAAATCGCCAAATCTGACATAGGTTTTCTTTATTTCTTTGCTCTCCCACAGTACATGATTACACGGTCAGGAAATGAAAATAGCTCCTCTTACCTAGAAACAGGCTGACAACATTTTTTTTTTAAGCAGTGAAAACCTGTCTTTAAAAAAATTTAAAAAATTAGAAATTCTGTGTAACCTAATTATAAGCATAACACTTTAAAAAGGTGCTAACATTCTTTTTCCCCCAAAAGGGAATATCGGTTGATTTATTAAGTTATACACAGTAAGATGTTAAATATAGTTTGAGCACTAAGTTTTTCCTTTCAAGTCAGTGCACATAAGAAGAGAACCCTCAAGGAAACCAGGGCTTCTGGGGCTGAATTTAACACTATTTAAGGAAAGAAAGTCTTAGCTAGGGGACATAGCTGTTAACATGGTGATTTGTAAAGCCTTAGATTTCTAATAGGGTCTGACTGTTTCAAGGAAAACATATTTTGTTTCTAGGTAACATTTCAAGTCTGATTATGAACAAATGCTACAAAATCGATCTGTAATGAGAAATACTGTAATGTCACAAAGCATTATTTATATGCTTAATGACACTGAAAGCATTAATTGCTAGGAGCCAAAATCTGTCCAAGCAAAACATGAACACATTTTGTACCTCGTGTCTCTTAATGTAGGTTTTTGAATGAATTCGAGTGTAACGAAAATGTAGTTAGAAAGTCAGCAACACCTGAAGGTTTTCTTCACCCGCTTGGATTATCATAGCTGTTTCTTGTTAGCAATGGCACGAATCATACCTGCTCAGAAGTGCCCAGCAAACAGCAGACATGTGGCTACTTGTTAGCTCGGCTCTAAAACATTGTGAAGTAGTGAATGGCTGGCTGGGGTTTTTTTAAGTTTCTCTAGATTCATTTTGCCACCTTTCTAATAAAATCTGGCTTTTCCCTAGTACGTGCACCTAGATCAGTGATGGCGAACCTATGACACCCGTGTCAGAGGTGACACGCGAACTCATTTTTTTGGTTGATTTTTCTTGGTCAAGTGGCATTTAAATATATAAAATAAATATCAAAAATATAAGTCTTTGTCTTACTATGGTTGCAAATATCAAAAAAATTCTATATGTGACACGGCACCAGAGTTAAGTTAGGGTTTTTCAAAATGCTGACACGCCGAGCTCAAAAGGTTCGCCATCACTGACCTAGATTTAGCTCTCTCCTTAGTCTTAAAACTGAGTTTATAGTGTTAGAATTTCCCACTAAAAACCATTAAGTGCCATCATGCTCACTGCTGTAGCTCACAAGGAAGTATTAAAAACCTGAGAAGTGGAAAGATTGTGTCATCAGTATTTAGAGTAGTAAGATTTATATGAATTTGGAGATATATTCAGAGTCTATTGTCACTCTTAATTCTGGTCAGTTCTGGGGTCCAGGGCTGGGGGATACCCACCATTCTATGAGCTGTAAATACCTCTAATTTTCCTCATCAAATAGAAAACAGTGTCTGATTCCCCACAGAAGCACATGAAATGAAATACTTTTCTTCCTTCAAACTTGTGGAGTGGGAGCACTTCTTTTCTGATAAATACAAATAGCTGTGCACCAGGCACCATGCCAAGTACTCACATACATTTCTCACGTAACCTTTACAACAGGCCTATGAAGTTGGTACTTGTAAGAAAGAGGGTAAGCTGGCTTGTGCTGCGGTAACAAATAACTCTACCATTTCAGTGGTTTAAAGCAGCTGAGGTTTAATTTTTGCTTTTGCCAAGTCTGCTGTGGTTCTGGGCAATTGTCCATGGGGCTCGCTGTGTGTCTCCACATCCACCCGTGTCCCCTGGAGAATCAAGCCAGGCCATCAAATGTAGTCACTCCTGAAAGTGACTTTGGTCCCCCATGCTCATTTCCATTGGTCAAAGCAAGCCACGTGGCTACATCTCACTTCAAGGGAGTAGGAAGTGCATCCTGCTGTTGCTCAGAGGGGTAGGGCGAAAACCTTGGTGTAACAAAAATGTTATTCCTGGTAAACAGTGGTAACTGTACTGTTTTCACCATTTTACAGGTAAGAGAACTACAAAGGGAAATAATGCCCAAAGTTACACAACTCAAATTAGGTGACTATATAATTGATTGTCCAGACCACAATATCCTTGCCAGTGAAGGGGCACAGTCTTAATCAGTACCTCCCCAAATCCGGGGCAACCTGCCTTGTCCACCTTGGGATCAGAGACCCACTCTGAGCCTCTTCTGGCTGGAATCTCCCTCATGGGTTGAGGAGTGCATGGGCCAAAGGGTTTTGCTCACTCAAAGCCAGGGCCTTTGCCTCTAGATCACGCTCCAGGTCCCTGCAGCACCCAGAACTCCCTGCCAAAATAACCCCAAGCCTCTTCCAGAGCCTGTGTGTGCACCTCCCGGATGGATTTTCCAAAATGCAGACAAAGCCACACCTAGGCCCAAAGGACCCCAGGGGCAGCTGGTGGACTCAGTTTGAACATGCAGGTTGGGGTGTTCACACACACACACACGGAGCCCCTTGGCAGGAAGAAAAATGGTGGAATGACCCATAGACCTTTTCCACTTTTACTCTAACCTCGGGACCCACGGTAAAAGGAGTGAGCCTGCCGTCACACTGGGACAAGCAGCCCTGTCCTGGGCAAACTGGAACCAGTGGTTCCCCTATTTAGAAATGGCAGATCCAGGAGGATCCCACCCTCTTAATTACCCCACTATGTTGCCTCCAATTTAAGAACCTCTTGGTGAAACCACGGCTAGTGTTATTATAATTTTAAAAATTCATGGCAATGCATGTTGTAATGTGAAAATTCAGGACCACTGGGATGAGATGGAGAGTTGGTGGCATGGAAAGACGGGTCCAATAGCCTGGCTGGATGCAGGTTCTAATTCTGCCTCCCCGGGGCTCTGTGACCTTGACAGGTCACCTTCCTGCAGAAGAGCCTGTTCTGACTGTAAATGGGGACACCTCTCAGAGTAGCTACAAAGATGAGGTGAGGTCATGCCCGTGCAAGAACTTTGAGGACTGAAACATGAGACACAAATTAAAGGAGTTCTCCCTGGTAATCTTTTTGAGCAGGTCAAATGCCAGAGGTCAGGTAAATCAATACGTACAAACACTAGGCTGCTGGTTAATAGTCTTTCTGAGTCCCAGAATTATTGTGTGAAGTGTTTTTAAAACCGCAAAATTGATCCATTACTAGGTGAAGTTGAATTGATTAAATGACAAGGGAATAGCATTTAACATTGTTTTTATCTTGGAGACTGTATTCTAAAGCTGTTTATTCGTGGCAGGATTTGGAACTGAATTAAGAAAAAGCAGATCAAGAGTCTCTGAGTGTTCGAAAAACATTCAGGCATCCAACTGAAAAAGCTCACTCAGAATCATGTTTGCAGAGGAGGAAACTGGGGCCCGGAGAGCTTAAACCTGAACTTTTCCTTGTCACAGGATCGAGACAGAGGTGACTAGAACTCCTCCCCCAACTCCCGCTGTTCTCTTTGAAGCCTCAATGTTCTCATCTGAAAAATGGCAACATAAGGATTACCTAAGGTAATGACTGCAAAGCACTGGGTGTAGTCAGCACTCAAGAAATAGTAACCCTTTATGATTATTACCCCAAAGTAGGGTCCTTATATGTTTCAGCATCAAAGATTCCATTTAATTGTCCCTACTTTCAAACTTCAGTGTATGGCATAAGTGACTGAAGGAGGTTTTCGATTTATCAGAAAATTGTCAAAGGTGTGTTTGCTGTTTTAAATACATAAAAGAAAGGTGGGTTGTTGTTTTTTTTAAAAAAAATTCACATCTTTTAAAAAAAAGAATTCATGTGGTTAACTATAAGAAGCTGAGGACATTAACGAATCCTATCAGATTAGTGATCACAAACCACCGGAAGTGTGGCCCCTGCTGCTCAGATGTTGGAGATTTCAATGCACATAGAGAGGATGCCCAGGTGGACTTTTGAGTCCAAGGGACTCACTAGCTGAATGTCTTCAGGCCAGTTGACTTCCACTCTGCAAACCTCTTTCCCGCTCCTGAAAAAGGAGGGAAGAGCAGCCCCTGCCTCGGGTGGTTGTGAGCATTTTGTTCTGGGCCTACTGCAAGGAGAGGCTTCATCAATGGAGGGAGATGACTGTTATAAAAACTTTTAAGAAATTGGCAGTGATTTTTAAGGGTAAAAATATATATGCTAAGGAATGAAAGGAAATCGTTTAGAGAATAATCTCAACTTTATTCTTTCACAGGCACAATTCCACTCACAGACACTTCACACGGACGCCAGCCTCCTCAGCCTCAGGAGGCCCCTCCTGAAGTCTTCTGGGAGGCCCGTGGGCTTGCTGGTGGCTGGATTCACAAAAACGTGGACCGAGGACCCAGTGGTACAGGCCAAAGTGTCAAATTGCGCCAGCTTGGGGTGGCCAAAGAAAAAGCCGTCAGTGAGGTCACGGTGATCTGCTGTGGGCGGCTCCTGGGTGGGCTTGGGTGGAAACAGAGCAAGGCGGTAATGCACACTGGAGTGGCCCACTTTCTCCACGGCCAGAGCAGCCACCGGGACCTGAGGGAAGCCGACCGGTGTGTGGAAGGTGCACTGATTGGTCACCATAAACCCCACCAAGGGGGACGTCAGCAAGCGGGTTTTCAGGCCGCAGTACCTAGAAGGTTCAATCACAATGCTTATTCCGGGTCAGCAGGACGCGCTCTCCCAGCCCAGTGACAGTGTGTTTCAGCAACACTGACCTCAAAGGGCCTGGAATCAAATCCCAGCTCCGCCACTCACTAGCTGAGTTACCTTGGGCAAGTTACTCAACTTCCTTTTCCCTCAATTCCACAACAATATAATGTCCATAACTGCGGTACTACCTCAGACTGTGAGAATTAAATAATGAATATAATACAACACTTAATACATGAAAACTTCCTAGACATAGTAAGTTCTTACAAACATTGGCTATGATTAATATTATTATGTCCATCTTGCCCTTGCTTCTTATCATGAAAAGCCAAGTACTTTTGTGTACTTGTGTGTTAAATGAGAGAAAAAGCCAGGTACTTTTGTGTTAAAGGAGAGGGGAAAAAAATCATTTATTAGAGATAATTGTCTCTTATCTTCACTGTGTAGTCTCTTTAAGGACAGGTACCAGGTCTTGTTTATTTCTTAAGTTTGTTGACTAGAAATGAGGTTGCACTTGCGATCAATTTGGAGGTTGAACAGAATCAAAGATGAAAAGTGTAAGGCCGAGTTCCAGCCTCTCCCCTCCTCCTCGCCAAAGAGGCCACTTACGATTTAAACATTTTAATCACATTGTCTTGTCTTCTTTTCTTGAGAAAATTAAGATTGTATGTGAGAACTCACTGTAAGGGAACAATTGTGTAAAGGTTTGACTGTGGAGCTGGTCACTGAGTCACTGTTCACAGCCAGGAGACAGACACAAGCTTGTCTCTGCCCAGGGAGAGCACCGAACGTGCCTGAGGCCAGCCACCTGGGTGTCCACTGAGGTCACCCATCATGACATTAGATGCGTTCATTTACTGACACAGAAGGAAAGCTGTGGAGTGAAAAGGATCGGGTTATACTAGTAGAATGGTATGTGCCATTCGATCTCACTAGTTTTACAAGAACATGTTTGTTTATGTACTCATTGTCCAGAAAAAACTTCGAAAGGGTAGATTCCAAAATGGTTTCAATTATCTAGCAGTGGAATTTGGGATAACTTTTGTCTTCATTTTGCTAATGAATTTTCTAAAGTGAGTGTGATTTGCCTATGAAATAAGAAATGAAGTGTTATTTTTAAAAACTGTCTGAATATGGATCTCATTTTTTAAAATATTTTTATTGATTTCAGAGAAGAAGGAAGAGGAAGTTAGAAACATCAATGATGAGAGAGAATCATTGATTGGTTGCCTCCTGCACGACCCCCACTGGGGATTGAGCCCACAACCGGAGCATGTGCCCTGACCTGGAATCGAACTGCAACCTCCCCATTCATAGGTCAACACTCAGCCACTGAGCTTCACCGGCCCGGCTGAATTTCATTTTTTAAAAAGTACTGGCGAGATGAGCAGGCTGGATAAACCCAGATCCTTCTTGTGCCCATGAGGATCCTGCTCTGGCCACCCTCCCTGAGGGCCTTCCTCATGAACACCTGAGGGGGTAAAGGGAGGCAGGAAAAGAAGAGCCTTGCCCTCCAGGGTAACTCCAAGATCCAGCGGGAACCAAATTCCCCTTTTTTTGTTTGCCATGTTTCTTTGTTGCTTCACTTTCTTATTACTTTGCCACTTTGCTCATTCTTTTAGGGCACCAACAGAAAAGAAATAGCACCTCTTCCCACCGAGAGAGCAGAATTTCATGAGCTCCTTGTGCCCCTGAGCCCAGCCAGAATACCTTTAAATAATTAAAATGCAGAGGCACTTTTAAACAATGCTATCGTGGATAAACGCCTGGCGGCCAGGGCTCTGCTGGGTGCATTACATTTTGTATTCAGTTTTCAAAACAACCCTGCAAAGCAGGTCTCATCTTTCCCATTTTCCAGGAGAGAAAATAAGTGGAGAAGCCGAACGAGTTTCCCAAAGGCACGCATGCGATAAGTGGTGGGTCAGGCCCAAACTTCAGGCTCTCTATGGCCAAAGTTTAAATTGTGTCCTCCATTCTGACTTACAGATGGTGAAGCCAAAATCTACATTTTAGTCCAGTAGATGAATTGCATTTTCTTTAAGTGTTTTGTGACTTTAAGAATTACATTTTCTTTAAATGCTGCATGACAGCTTCACTACGTTTGGACAATAGAGACTTCCTGGTTGCAAGTTCACAGCCCAATCTGATTTGGCTGGTGGTAACAATAGAGTAACTTAGTGAGAATTTTGGTCATTGTTACATCTTTGCAGGGATTTTAATTTTATCAGCATTTATATATCTGCACATATTCTGAAAAGTCAAATAGATCCTCAAAGCTTATTGCAAAGACAGTAGTTCTCTAGCTGGTTATATCTTTGGCCAAGATGTTCTTAGAATGAATTCATTCATTCAACAACCTCCACTGCACACCTACCCTTTGTAAGTTATTGAGGTTAGAACATTAAGAGAGAAATCATGCCCTCAGGACTTCTCAATTTTAGGGGTGGAGGGTGGGATGTGTCAGCTCTTGTCCTCACTTCAGCGAAGGAAGGCGCTAATTGTGTTCCTTTCTGGTTCCCCTTCCACTCTTTGCTTCTTCTTTCTTTTTTCCTCTCCTCAACATTCATTTATTGTGCACCTACTAAGTTACAAGGATGTGCTAGGCCTGGAAGAGAAAACAATAAGCAAGCTAGACAGTGATAGTAGCTGTCCTCATGTAGCCTGGGTCTAGAAGGGGTACAATCACCATGCTGTACGATGAAAGCCTGACTTGATCTAGGGTATCAGGGAAAACTGGAGGAAGTTTTTCCTCAGAAAGAGGTTTGAGCTGGAGATAGGTGTTGAGAGACTGACTTTGATCCAAAATCAGGGTGTTGACAAGTAAAGTAAAGGGTGGGAGCCAGCTGGTGTAATACACGGATGTGGTGGGTCCGTGGTCAGTGGAAAGCAAATGCCCAGTCTGACCCAGGAAGATTCAGACTTATAAAAACTACTGGGCAGACTAAGTAAAATTCATGTGTGATCTGCCTGGATTTGTCTTTCTGGCCCCTAGTTTATGACCTCTGGGAGAGGTGGTAATTAAACCATGGGAGAGGGAGAGGTTGCCTAGGAGAGAATACAGAATGGGGTCAGCTTGAGCCCAGGTTTACAGCCTTACAAATGAAGAACTGGCTTTGAATAAGCTCCCAAGTGGTGAACTCTTAGAACAAGTGACTGATACAATGCCTGATTCTGATGCCACCTAATCATCACATGAGGTGAATGCCCACCTTCCATGCTTTCTTATCCCTGACTTAGTAAACTTTAGCATAGAAGGGGGTTGGAGCTGGAAGATCCCTTGGGGATCATGCAAGTACCTGGCTCCCCAACACTGGTGAGGGTCAGAACCCGGGAAACCTCCAGACCCTCAGTGTCCTCCCAGACCTCCTGAATCCATCTGCAAGGCGGGGCCCAGGCATCCTGACTTCCACAAGCTCCCAAGTGATCTGAAGGCACGCACCTACCATGAGTGTTGCTCTTCTAGGCCCACCCCCTTGGATAAAGCAAAGCCCAGAGATGAAGTAAGTTGCTCACCTGCACACAGCTGGAAAGGGGCAGAGTCTGTCTACATTCCAGCCCTGACTCCCTGACCCCAGATTCACCTCCCTGACCCCAGATTCACCTCCAGCTCAGCCTTGAAGACCAATAAATCTCTGGGGCATTCACGACTTAGATTCAGATCAGATGCTTATGATCCTACCCTGATTTTGTACCCAACTCCAACAGTTGAGTTCAGTCTTACCTATTGCTCCCCTCTCCCACGCTCCCGCCTTCTTTCCTGCTGCTATAACTAGGTTCTGCCTTGACCACTGTCCTGCCTTCACCCCGATCCTGAGGCCCTGCCTGCGTGCCTCCCTGGGCTCTGGTGCCTCTGCAGCAGGAGGCAGTGTGCACATGCAGGACCTGGTGCCTCTGGGTCTGTGTGAGGACCCAGCCCTGCTGCCTCCTGAGGTCTGGAGAGAAGCCTCAGTCAGGAGGTAGGACAGTGGGCGTGTGGCACAGAGACAGCTTTCAGAGGCCTGAAACTATTTTTGTCGTTCTCTGTAAACAGCATAGAATGGGCGTAGCTTGTGGTCAGTTACCTGGAATACCAGAGCAGGATGTGAGATGGAGCAAGTATCTACATAAGCCTTTACGCCATGCTGTGTTTATCTTGCCTTACCACTTGGTATTTCTAAACTAAGTTGCTATCTGCAAATATAAGAAGCTAGTATGATGACAACAGCCACATTAGGAAAATGCCCAGACGCAGTTGGCTGCAGATTGTTGCTGTTGCGAGTTTCCAAGTGTATGCATTGGGTCCCCAAACTGAGCAACCCTAATGAACAGCATCTGCTGTCAGAGCAGAACGCTTTCTTTGCAACAGTGTTCTTGCCACAAGTTTATTCTGGTAAAGCAGTGTGAAAATGACAAGAAAATCCAACATGTCTCAAGAGGCACAATATGTAACAAGCAAAGATCTCCCAATCCATGTTCAGGGTCTGATGAAGAATTCAAGACCAAAAAATTAAGGACGTGAAACAAATTCATTGAAACATTTTGACTGAAAATAAGACGACCGTGACATTCTGCTCAATTAACAGGAAAACAGTCTTAAAGGGTAAATGTGGTAGATGATGATCTGTTTTTTTTTGACATCCAAGTCAGAATCAATCATTAAGTGAGACTAGATTCGAGAGGAACTTTGAACCCAAGCACAATGATATCACAACTATTGTCCTTTTTGCCTCTGCTAGAGTTGCTCTCTGAGAGAGAGATTTCAAAGAAAGCATCTCTGAAAATGACTATTAGGACTTTCAAGCCCTCAAAATTAAGCAGACCAGGGTTACTCAGAGATGGGAGGTGGGGAGGAGCAAGAGGGAGAGATTACAAAAGGGGCATCAGGAAACTTTGCAGTAAGGGAGGTGGGGTGTGAGGTTCATTATCTTGATTACAGTGATGGTTTCACAAGTGTGTGTGCAAATGTGCCAAAACTCATCAAATTGTGCACTTTAAAACATG